TTTCCATTGAATGCATATTGAGAAGTAGGAACATTTGATTTTCATATAACTGAATGCTTATTGGGCTTGACTAGTTCTCCTTTACTTGTCGTTCTTTTTATTTTTTTTCCTTTCTATATAATTGCACTAGCTATTTTCTTTGAAGTTAATATGAATCAATATACTTGTAATGTGAATATTGTGTTGTCTTTGAAATCAATATTATCAAGAATTTATTGTTTGGCTTGTAAAGTTGTACATATTGATGTTTGATTTGAAATTTGTTTCAGAGGTGGCTGATATTGATATTTGTTTTTCTCTACAATGACTCAGGTTTATTGTTGTTGATCTAATTGTTATTATGAATGCCCATTTTCTTATTAACAATTGAATCTTGAAATTATCAACTAACAAGATGAGTGGAGAGGTACTTTATTTCTCATTTAACATAAAATTAAATTTATAACCAATTGTTGTCCACATTATTTCTTATTTTTCCTTATGTATTGCACAGAGTTCGAAAAAAGCTGAGAAAAGAATTAGAAAGGAGCGTGAAGCTATAATTGCTGCGACAATGGATGAAAGAAGAAATGCATCATTCAGAATTTCAGATGAGTGTTCTACTTCTCCACATGTTGAATCACATGATATGAAGGGAGTTGTAGACTTCACTCAAGTACCAAAGAAGAAAACTAGGGGGGCATCAAAGTTAAAGATGTAAGACAAAGGAAAACAAAAGTGTGATGAAATTGACTTCAATGAAAGGAATCAGCTTGTGGGACCTGAGTCAGTTAAACTATCGACTTTAGAAGGGATCTTGGCATGAGAGATGGTGCCAATAACCACAGAGAGATGGCCTGATATTCCAGAAGAGGTTAACGACAAGCTATGGGCTTGTGTGAAGGTAACATATATTTATTTAATTCATTATTATACTATCAGCTCAAGTTTTTTTTCCTGATAACTAATTTTTTGTTTAAATGCAAATGCAGCTTTGATTCAAAATGCATGATTGCCATAGGAAATACATCATGCAAAAGTTTGATAGATTATGGCGCTCACACAAATCTAAACTATCACGAAAAATAAGACCTCTTCGTAAAAGTGCTAAGCTAGCACACAATATTGTCCTCACCAAACCTGATAATGTAGAAATGGTTGAATGGAAAGCATTTGTGAAACAACAAAACTTTAAAGAATTTAAGGCAAGTTTCCTCATAGAAACTCTCTAGTTTTTAAGAACTAATTAGACCAACAAATTTTCTCTTAGTGATTCAATTATGAATTGTTAATCATATAAATTATGACATTCTTCTTTTGTATATGCAAGCAAAGAGTAAAAGATTTAGGGCAATGAGAAAAAAGCAAACCCTCTTTCACACCATGAGTCGTAAAGGTTATGCACGATTAGAGGATAAAATGGTAGATTTAAGAGTGATTCAAGTAGCTTTGTAAATTGGGTATGAAGTACGGTTACTATGAGATTGTTTTTAATCATGTTGATTTTCATTCTCTATTTTATTTTCTAGAGAAGAGAAAGTCGAGCACCATCATCCATATCAAGAGTTGATGTTTGGATTAAAGGATATATGAGGAAGGATGGAAAATCCATGAATGAAGTGCTTGATGCAACTGTGGTACCAATATTACTTCATTTTTATTTATTTATTTTTGTATTATAATTTGCATTCACATCAATTTATTAAGACATGCTTTATATTTTTAGGAAAAGGGTCAAGAACTTCACAAGGCTTCTACTGGTGAGGATCCAAAATCTATAAAAGATTATGCGATTTTTCATGCTTATGGTTGGTCTCGAGCGTCGTGGGAGTGTACGAGGGCTGGGATTTGGGGCATTACCATCTAAGGTTGATGCCAAGTACACCAAAATGAGCACGTGAGAAAACTTGAAGGCAAGGTACTGGACTTAGAACAACAACTCGATGAGATAAGAGCCATGCTAATCAAAGAAAGAAGGCAAATTGATGTAAGAGGAAAAGCTAAATATGATAATATAATGTTTGATGATTTAATTCAAGTAAATTTTGATTCAAACCATTTGTTATTTTATATTTAAATCACTTACATGTGTTATCTTTGATTGTAGGGTACCAATCCCTCCCAAAGAAGCTTTAATCTACTCCAATCTACTCCTCATGACAACCTTCCAACTTCAATGAGTGAAAATAGTATTTTCAGAGCTATGAAATTATCTAAACATGCTGGTTCTTCAATTGCAAACCTTCCCACTGGTTTAGATACGGTAAGTTATGCTCTTTTTAGAAGTCTCAATTGTTATGATTGAAGTCATGGTTTGAAAACAAAACTTTAGTGAAATCATATTTTCAAATCATGGGTTTGGAAAACAAATTCCAAACTGCTTTAGTTTGAGTTTGAAAGTATTAAAATAGCATGGTTTGGTAGAACAATCCTTTAACCAATTTTAGTACTCTATTCATTGAAAATTAAATAAATTTAACTGGTAGTAGTAATAGTAAATGACAATAAATATGAGGAAAAGAATCACAAATCTTCAAAATGCTAAGCTATATACAATTTTAGCCCTTATCTAGAGCCAAATGCAGTTTTAACTGTACTGCTGATCTTATTATTGTTATTACTTTTTGAGCATTGAGAACTATGTTATAGCTAGGAGGAAGAAATCTTTAGGAAAAGCAACAGAAGGCAAAAGCTGAAACACATAGTAAGAATGCATTGTCTTGAGTTTGGATTATGAGTTTTAGCTGTTACTTTCAAGAGAGTTCGTATATTGTGTGAGGAAACCAAGGAAAAATTGTAATGCTCTTTGGATAATAGCTCAATGGTCTCAGAAGGAATACGATTGTGTTTCTTGCATTTAGGGTTGTATTCTCTAATTCAATACATTCTTAACTGTAAGAAATGATGACTATTTTGAAATACGTGAATTTTGATGCATAATCTTATGTATCGAGATAGAAGACACAGAATCGTGTGCCACATACGATAGTCTTGGTAGGCAATAATATATTTCTAGTCCTGTACTAGCACACATAGCTTTCTAGCACAGTTTTCATCCAACTGAAACGTGAATGGCATTTTTCTTTGAGAAAGAAAGAGAGAGTAGGGGAGAGTGGGCTACCTGTTTCATCTGCTTGGGTAGAACCTATTTTCTCAATTTTTTTAATTATAGCTTTTTACACTTTCATATCTGTATTTTTTTTATTATTTATTTATTTATTTATTTTAACACAACTCTCATAATGAGGACTCCAAAATCATCTTCTTGTGTTGAAGAACTTAGGGACTTATTAGAGATCCACTTCAATTAGAATGTCCATTTAGTTTTTATAAATTCATTAGGTTGAGTAGACTCATAAGTGTGACCACCTCAAAATGTGTATTCATCAGGTTGAAATTTTCTTTTCAGACATTGATGACATATATAAGTGGGTTCTCCTTAAAACTTTTTGGCACTTTCATTTCCTTGGTTGAACTAATACTTGGTAAATGGGATGAATGTTATGCAGTATGCTTATATATTCTTAATTTTTGTAGGATCAAAGGAATGGTATGTCGAGCTTAGAGAATATCAAATGCAAGTTGCATTGGGAGGGGACAAACTTGGTGGTTGCAGAAGGCCAAATTGCATCAAGGGATCCCAAGTCAAAGGTGCATCATGTGACTCTTGGACTTTTGTGCCGGAAAGTATGGGTGAACCACATAATAGTTAACGTGTCGTTGTTTCGTTCTACTCATAAGATGTATGATCTTCAAGATGAAATAGAAAGTACAATTGCATGGACTAGTCAATTCATTCTTTTGGACTAAATATTAGACTAATTGATTTACGATTTATAGTTATACTTTTTGGATGTTTAAAGTCGTATTTTAGAGATTAGTGAACCTTATGATTTGGATACTTTTTTTGATTTGTTTGTTTAGGTTGTTATCAGCTTGATATAATAGAAGTTGAGGATGAAAGTTAGTATGCAGGTTGTTTGGTGTATGGATATTAGATTTTTTTTTTTTTTTGCGTACTTCATAGTTGCTGCTTCTGCTTGGTTTGTTAACAGGTTGCATTTTATAAGTTACTGTCTACATATTATTAGGCAAGGTTATATTCCTGTATATATATTATATATTAAAAATGACCTTCTATGGCATATAAAATTATGTCATGAAAAGTGTAATGATTTATGGCATGCAAGAAAATGTCGTAACTGATTATACACATCATAAAAAGTATGTCATAAATATATTAAAAATGACATTCTACGACATACAAAATTATGTCGTGGAAAGTGAGATGATTTATGACTTGCAAGAAAATATCATAAAATATTATATATGGCATACAAAGTATGCCATAAATATATTAAAAATAACCTTCTACGGCATGCAAAATTATGCCATGGAAAGTATGATGATTTATGGCATGACAAAAATGTCATAAAAAGTTATATACGACATACAAAGTATGTCATTAATGTTTAATTTATTACTTTTTACAACTTCACTTGCATGCCGTAAATGATACTCAACTTTCCACGATATGTCATATAACGACATTTGTGTGCATGTCGTAGGCATGCATTGCAATCCATAAAAATTCAATTTTGTTGTAGTGTCATAAGGTTCACTAATCTCTAAAATACATGTTACCTTCACAGAAGCCCATAGCTTGTTGTTAACCTCTTCTTGAATATCCGGTCATCTCTCTGTGGTTATTGGCACCATCTCTCATGCCAAGATCCCTTATCAATTCAATTTTATGTTAAATGAGAAATAAAGTACCTCTTCACTCATCTTGCTAGTTGACAATTTCAAGATTCTACTGTTAATAAGAAAATGGGCACTCACAATAACAATCAGATCAACAACAACAAACCTCAGTCATTATAGAGATAAGATTATCTAGCAAGTTAATTTTGAGTTGGAACTATATGATTTAAACCCGAGTGTCTCTAATCCTATCATATGAACACATGTTGTATTACAATAAGCCATATTTGCAAAAATTAGACTGCAACATGGGATTATTTTGTGATTCATAAACTAATAAGATTCTACAACAAATAGGAAAGCTTACACATCATTCACCATTATTCACTCAATAAAGTACATATCCAGGAGTTTTCACTCCATTTGTGTATAGAAGGTAGAAGAGTTTGATCAGAAGATTACCTACAATATGGAGCATCTTACTTTGTTTGAATAAGTTCCAACGATACACTTTTCCATTGCCAGCTAATATTTGAAAATAAATAATTTCAGTTACAACAGATAGCAGCTATTGACAGTGATTAATGACTACTCTACGCGAACTGAGGCTTACCCACGGTCTAGGAGTTCTAGGATCAGATTTTGGATTCAACTTCAATAGCTCTGACTGGAAGGTAATGACGATCAAAACTTTGAACTTTATTGAAAATGGACTGCAGACAAAATCAAAGAAGCCATCACATGCACTCTAGTTATGGTGTATAGATGACCTCAAGTTCAAGAAACAAGTAAAGCAAGCGCAATAGCTAAAGAACACTATCAGAGAGCATGCACATGCATAAAGAACATTGCTGACTACCATATATTGCAGGATTTCTCCTTAAATTAATGTGTAAATCGTAGTTATCAAATCGAGAATTGAATCGTGAATCGAAATTACCTTTTTCTAAATCTTGAATCGTAAAGATTCAGTTATAGTTTTTAAAATACATAAAAAAAATATACCTAAACAATTAGATATTAAAGAATATATATAAATATGAAATGTTTATATATAAATCATCTTGTTTTGAGTGATAAATACATGGTGTAATAGGTACAACACACGCTTCTATGGCAACAAATGTGGGTCTGATTCTGGGTGTGCTCTATGATCCTATGCTATGATTTATAACAATCCATAGCTTCATATACTTTTACGAGTTAGAAACAAAAATTCAAGATCCTTCATACGAGAAGTTTGAAAATTCAAAATTCTAATCAACAAAGTAAAATAAATTTAACACAATGTGCATTTTTATACAAAAAATTATACGCATCACAAGATTCACAAATTCTAATTCTTACATTTGTACTTTGTGTCGAATCAAAAATCTATATACCCTATATAAAAAATAGACTAACTTCATGTACAAGTGTAAATATATATTTGTGTAAAAAAAAAACCCTTCAAAAACAAAATTTGGGTATAAAAACTCAAGAACTCTGAAACTCTTCAATCATTCATTCTTCAATTGGTATCAAGGAGGGGGCTACTAATAAACTTTTTTACAATTCATAGAATCCAAATACTCAAGCCAAAAGACAGAGTTCCTTTAGCAAATAGAGACACACAGAAAAATTGAAGACTTCTTGGTGTATAGAATCGAATTGTACAATTTGTATGCAATTCTTTCTTTCGTCGATTCACCTCCCAAATATGATTAATTGTCGGTGTATCGAACCGAATTATGCAATTCATATCATGGATAGTATGATTCTAATAATAGAGGTCTAAATAAGCAATTAGTGTCAAATATTCTCTTATAACAATTGATAAAGAGAAGAATGACCAGCATGCTAGGGCACAACGATAAGTTTTGGAAGTAGATATTTGTATCAACAACTCACCTAGCATAAATTGTTGGACAAGTCAAAAGAAGTGGAAGTGTGATGTAAATGGGTAGAGTTATATTATGGCAGACATCTCCATCAACTATCTGTAAATGAACGAAAAACTTTGTCAAAATAAAGGAAGAAAATGAAAATTGAAGAAGGCATAACAGAACTAAAATTGCTCGAAACAATATGAAATGTTGCATGCCTGCGTAGTCTAAATTAAAGAGGTTTCAGTTATGATCCTTTTTCCAACCAGAATTGACTCTACATGAAGCAAGTGGATATCAATGAAATGAATAGGAACTGCAGTGAGCACTGAGTGCCAATTTTACCAGTTACTCGGAAACCACGTAGTCAACAACAACTATTGTCAATATGACAATCTTAGTGTAGCAATGCAAAACAATAATGATCACCGTTTTGCTAAAAATGAATCAGCAGAACTGTAGACGCGCCCGCGTGGGCCTCATGCTACAGTTCGGACTCGATTTTCGTCACGGTTCTAAATCTGAACCAAAGAGTCTAAATCTGGCAAATCGTTTGAGAAAACAGATTTTTTGAAAAAGTAGTGCCAAACATGGACTGCTTTGCCAGATACAGAGTCGCCACCTAAAGTTTAGGAAGTAATGAATGTCTTTGCGTGTCCTGAGTAATGTAAAATATGACCAGTTCAGGAGAAACTGGTTGATCAGGGAGACTAGCAAAAGAAAACACCACAGCAGAATGGAAGCTAATTAAGTGCATTGATTATTTTGTACTGGAGAAATCAAGAAATAGAATATGCATATACCTTTTTCACTCTCAATTATGAACTCCACAGTGGCAAACAATGACTTGTGTAGGTATCCCCTAATTACGTCTACAGTTACCTAGGGAATGCAATTTTTTGTTTGAGATTTTGCATAAACCTGCAATGTGTTTGAGATTTTGCATAAACCTAAGTGTTTCAACAAATGATTGTCAAATGGTAAGGAAAGAGTACCATATGAAATTACAAAGATAAATGCAAGTTTGATTTTCATGAGGAACTCAATGAGTCACAATTCATTCTTTAAATTTCTCCAGAGAACCCAAATAAAGACAAAACTCAGATCAGAAATGGTTGACAAACATTGAATGAAGGCACTTGCTTTCAAAATTAATCCAGTCAAATCACAGAGAAACATCACAAAAAAATCACACAATAAATTCCAATCCATCATTAACAATCATTTCACGATCATTTAACCTAACACACCAATAGCATCAAATACGAACGCTGCTAGAATGAGAGGAAACTGAATAAGTTAGAAACTCACAAAGAAATCAAATCCATGGAAGGGGCTCAGAATCAGAATCGAACTCCAAGCTCAGAATCAATCGATTGGTGCTCGTGTAACTAACATCACTGTGGCTTAGGCCTCGTTTGGCAAGAGGCTATTTTAGTCAATTAGCCAAAAAGTTACTAAATTAGCCAAAAAGCCAACAACCCATACCAAAAAGTCAAAGATTCTCTTTTCTCTCTACTTTTTGCACATCTTTTCGTAATTAGCCAAAAAGTCATCCCAAACATACAAGTTTTTTTTACCTACCTTTTTAGCCAAATAGCCAAAAAGTTACTAAATTAGCCTGTTCCGAAACGAGGCCTTAGAATCAATTATTGATTAAGAGAGAGCAAGAGAGAGTGCGTGTTTCTGTGTGCCTCTAGAGAGAGAGAGAGAGAATTAAGAACATTGAAATAAAAATTGGAAACAGAATTGAAGGAATCAAGAATTGAAGACAATGCTGATATTGAAAAATACGACCTAATCAATCTATACTTGTGAAAATAAGTAGAGATTGAGATCAAAACAATAAAAAAAACACATAATCAAGAGTGAAATTACCGAATAGAGAACTGACATAGAAGTGACAGACAGAGTCTGAGATGAAAAGACGATTGTCGATGAGCTTTGTCCCTCTGAAAATGTTTGCGAATTTGTTTGTCAAAATGAGAGTCTGGTTTTAGTAAGCAGAAGCTTTGGAGTTTCCGCTAAATTTTGGAGGAATTTAGGAGAGAGATAGAGATGATTACGAGGATAATAATAAGAGAAAATTATTTATAAGTACTATTTGAAAGATTTATTTAATGTGAAGTTTTATGAATTCTTTTTTAAAGATTGAAATCTTATTTCAATAGGAATGTATTTCATAAGGTTGTATGAATTGTAAATAAATGATATCGGTGTACTATTATACCTTTAATTTGTTTCTAATGTCACGTTGAATTTGGTAATGTCACATTGAGTTTGAGATGTTGTATGTTACATTTACGTTTTGAATTTTAAATTTTCAATCATATAAATATGATCATAATTTATGGTAATATTAGATTTTCATATATGATATTTTCATTACTTAATTTATTTTGAATTTCAGAAGTATGTGAGAATGTTATGTTGGATTTGGAAATGTCACATTGGGTTTGAGATATTACGGTGTCGTTTGGTAACATTTATGTTTTTTTGTTTATATTTATAAAAAAAATTATAAACTAATTTTTGTTTATTTTTAGAAAATCAAAAACTACAAACACATTTGGTTTGAACAAACTGTTTGAAAATTTTTAAAAATAAAATCCCAAAAACATGTTTGTTAATTTTAATGCATAAAATGTTTATTTTATTTTTTAATTATTTTTTACAATGAAAATCATTTAAATCATAAAATTATAATATGTTATTACTAAGGCCAAGTTTGGCTAAATTAAAAAATTTCATTTATTTCATCTTTTTATCTTTTTTGGGTCATATCAATTAACATCTCCTCTCTACTTTTTTTACACATAATATAAGAAAAGTCAAAAAATACACTTATTTAGTCTTCTCAAACTTAGCCTAAGGTCCCATTTTACTGTCCACTGTTAAAATCATAAAATTATAATTTCATAATATGTTATTACTAATAATACACACAAATACAGGAGCAAGGATCCTCTAGAGTCATTTTTCCCTAAAGTTTCCTAGAGTGTTACACTGTGTGGTTGAGATTTACTGGCAAGTCACATCAATTTTTCTGATGTGACTTGCTAATAAATCTCAACCATACAATGCAGCACTCTAGAAAACTTTAGAAAAATTTCACTCTAGAGGATCCTTGGTGCAAATACAGTCCATGGTCCCATTCAATCTCCACTCTTTTTTTGAGAACACAATCTTCCCTCCTAAAAGAACGAAGATGGAGAGAGAGAGAGAGAGAGAGAGAGAGAGACAAAAAGACAAAGAGGAAGAAAAGAAGACAAAGGTTTACTGTTATGTTAAATCAAGTAGGGAAGAACTATTTGAGAAAATTTTTAAAGAATCACCATGAATCAATGCAAGAATCATCAACAATCACCAAAAATTTTAAAGAATCACCAAAAATCTGTTCAAGTTTCTTCAAGAATGGCTTCGTTGGCACCCAGTACGCTTCGTCGGCAGCGGGTTCTCTTCTTCTCTTCTTCTTCGATGCAGAATCCAAGGATCTCCATCAAGCACCAATAGAGAGGAGAAAGAGACCTGGAGGCTGGAAGTTCGCTGATGATGTAGAGCAGATCGATGATGGAGAGTTCGTTGACGAGGAGAGAGAAGCGAAAGAGAGCTAGTCTTTTTTTACCATTGATGGTTCAGATCAGGGAAGATAATATTGCCTTCAATTTGCTTTGGCATTGTGTCTCCCAAGTTTTGAACACCAAACCTCACAAGCACAGTTAAATTTTTTTTTTTTTTTTGGTTTTCCTGCTGTGTTTTTTGCTTGCGTTTTTGGTTTTTAAAAAATGAGAAACAACTTTTTCTTGTTTTTGTTTTTCACCGTTATTTATAAACTAAGACTAACTGCTTATAAACTAAAAAAAAAATTTATTAAACAAGTTTTTATACTAGTTTTTAAATTTTTTGTAAATATAAACAAAAAATTAAAAACAAAATTGTTATCAAACAGACCCACATGTTACATTTACATTTTGAATTTTAAATTTTTAACCATATGGATATGATCACAATTCATGATAACATTGGGTTTCTCATATATAATATTGCCATTAATTAGTCCATATATAGTATTGTCATTAATTAGGTTATTTTGAATTTTAAATTTCTAACCATATAGATTTGATTGCAATTTATGGTAACATTGAATTTCTTATCTATAGCATTGCTATTAATTAGGTTATTTTAAATTTTAAATTTCTAACCATATAGATATTATTACAATCGATGATAATATTAGATTTTCCATATATAGCACTGCCATTAATTACATTGTTTTGAATTTCAAATTTTTAACCATGTAGATATAATCACAATATATGATAACATTAAATTTTTTATATATGGTATTATCATTAATCAAGTTATTAATTAATTAAGATTGAGGGTAGATGTGTGCATAAAAAAATCACAAGACCTATTGGGTTATAAGTTTTTTCATGGGACCATATTTTATATAAGTCTTCCAAATAGGATTTATAAATAATTTACCCTAATAAGAAATAATTAATATGTGTTTTGGGAATAATTGAAATTAAATCAGGAAACAATATGTAAAAACATGGAAGGCTATATGAAATTTAAATTTTTTCATAATTTATTTTTAAAATTAATTTATATTTAAAATTAGACAAAAATGATACATTAATCACATAACATAAAAATATTTTATTATATATAACTTATATAAAAAATTTGAAAAACTCTAAATAAATTATTAAATTTTATACCAAATAGTCATATGGGATTGAAACTCATATAATGTAAATCTTATATTATGTACAATGTTCAATAATTAAAATTCTTAATATTGTTTAACTAACCTCTCTAATATGAACATAAATTTAATATAATAATATATTTTTATCATGGGTAAATTACATTTACCTCCCCTAAGGTTTCTGACAAATACAGGGACCTCCCCTGTAGTTTTAATAATTACAGAAACCTCCCCTACTTTATCTGACAATATCAAGATTCCCCCAATCCGTCAATTTTACACAAACGACGTTACTTACCTATACAAAATGACTATATTACCCTTTTATTTGAGGGCAAAAAGACGAAAATACCCATCGATCTTGTCAGTTTTGTTAACCCCACCATATACAAAATGATTTTTTTTGTTCTCTCTCTGTTCTTGTATGCTTTATGTGCAAATACTGGTCCAAGTTACATCTTCTGGGTTACTATGTTAATCTACACAGAAGTGTATTCAATATCTGTATTCTTAACTCCCTTTTCAATCCCATCACCACCATCATCCTCCTCCACTACTACCATCTCCCCCGCCACTGTCCACCACCGGCAAGAGTGGTGGCGACGAGTGGAACAAAGCTTGAGAGTCCGCCTGGCTCCCCGAAGACCTCTCCGACAACAACTGACCCCTATGGAAGATCGACATCAACTTCTCCGACAACGGCAACCCTTCCGCCGCCACTCCTCTCTTCCGACATCGACGCCGAAATGAAGGTCTTTGTTGAGGACACACCACTGCCTCCCTCTATTTCTCCATCTACCCACAAGTCTTCCTCCACTCCCTCTCCTCCACCGACCGCCGCTCACTTTTCCTCTCCTCCTCCTCTTCCTCTTCTGAAGCCCTAACCCTAGATCTATAGTTTTTAGAGCGATGGTAAGCAGTGATGGCAGCAACATTGGGTTACAATCTAGGTTGTGGCGGTTGGTTGCGATCTAGGTCGCAATCGGGAGAAGAAGAAGAAGAAGAGGAGGAGAAGAAAGATGAGGAGAGAAGATGGACGAATGGCTAGAGAAAGAGAGGAGGAGGCTGGAAATGGTGGTGGTTTCAGAGAGACCCAATTTTTGCACTAATCCAGTACCTTATTTTCTTTGGGAGATAATGGCTATGGTTTGATTTTGATTTCTATTGGGTTTGATTTTGCACTGATTTTTTTGGGGAGGTGGTATTGATGGTGGCTATCCAACTTCTCAACTGAGTAATTGTGGATTAAGGCTTCAGTTGAGTATGAATATTTACATCTTCACCTATTCAGTTTTTTGTTTTTGGAGGTTGTAGAGCTTTGTAGTGTTGGTGCTTTCTTTTTTTCTTTTCTTTTTTAAAAAAAATTGGAAGGAGTTTTGTTTCAGTGGTGCAGTGTGCAGTGTTGTGTGTTTGTGCAACTAGTAAGAGCTTGGCGTTACTTCTGTGCTTAGTAAACTAATAACCAAATGATGGCCATGTTATGGGTGTGTGTTTGCTGTCTTCTACAGCAGTGTTAATTAATTGATTTTTTTTTTTTTTTTTTGTGTGCAGAGAAAGCAAAGGGAAGAGATAACACTAAGAGATTGGATTAGTGTTGCATTTAGGCATTATGGACATTTTGGCATTTATCTTTGATGACATCACCGCTTCCAATAGTTGTGTAACGAAGTCAAAAATGGGGGTATTTGATATTG